GTTAAATAGATATCCAAAATCGCCTCATACAAGTTAAAGCTACCCTGTGCTGGCTCCTTCTGGGGAAAGTCTGTAATCACAGTGTTTGCCAGATGGCATGTGGTGTTTCTATTGACATAAATGTTTTATAAGCTAAGTAACTGCTCTGAATTTTCCAATTTTTTTCATGGTTGAAAGGACATTGGATGACTACACATAAGGAAAAGTGATTGATTTTTAAGAATGAAAATCATTACATTTAAGTACGGCACCTCTTTTCCCCTTCTGTTCTCTTACTTCTTAAGAAACAGCCACCAATAAATATCAGATGCTTGTCCAGTTCAGCTGCATTCCTTTGAGATGGATACTTATTGATATAGGTGCTGGCTTACAGAAGCCCTACTCAATTATCAGACAAGAACTCCTTGTCCTGTATCATGGATATAGCCAGAGAATGTGTGGGTAACTGGTCTGCACTTGGCAGCCTGTTTTGGCTTCTTTTCTAGGTCACTTTCCCATGTCCACCTCTGCATATTAAAGATCGCTTAGCTTCCAGCTTTCATTCAGAGAGAGAAAGCACTCTTTAGGGATTTAAAGAAAGATGCTGTCTTCAGGGGTACAGACTCTTATTTCACTTGTCCCCCAACTATATTTCTAGGTAGTCCTCAATTTACAACCGTTCGTTTAATGGCCGCTTAAAGTTATGACGGCACTACAGTTGCAATTGGTACTGGGACTTAAGACAGTGGCAGTGTCTCCATGATCAAAATTTGGGTGTATTTTTGATGGTTGCAGCATCTGAGGTTCATGTTATTTCCATGTGCCTTTTTCCCCCCAGGGAAGTTTAAAACAAAGACAATATGGAAAAGCGGGTTTGTTTAGCAACTGTAGCAAAAAAGCTGGTAATATCAGATACAACTCACACCTGCATCATTTAACGAAGGTAATTCCAGTCGCAATTGTAGATGTAAATTGGAGATTATCTGTCATCTGCCTGTTTGTTATTTCTCTTCCTAGTTAGCATTTTCAGTTTTAAAATGGGTATTGACACAACGGATTTCTAGAAACAAAAGAGGTAGCAGTTAAGGGAGTATAGTATCAAATGAGAAACAGAAAAACAAACCTCTTAGCTTGTTTGGAACACAGTTCCTGTCATGTTCAAATGCAGGATTATGATAGATGCATGCTATCTGCAAAGAGGGAAAATTATATAAAGTGCATTTCAGAGCTGCACGGTATTTTGAAGTCAGCTCCAAAAACATGCTTCAAACATGAAGTCCATGAATATAGCTCCTGTTTGCAAGAGCGGCATCTTTTTCAGAGATCTTGGGCAATTTCTGCAGAGATAATCCCTGTTCTGACCAAGGCTTCCCGAGACCATAATTAAGCACACACTTATTTAAACTCTTGTTTTATTTCAATGCTGGGTATTATGTTCATTCCCAGCTGGTAATGAGTCCCAAACAGTCCCTTCAAGATAAGCACCCACCTTTCTTTCCTTTGAATTGCTGCCAATAACTAGAGTGCCAAATGAATTATAAAAAAAACCAACCAAAGTACAAAGTCCACACAGAGCTTCAGGGATTAATCCGAACAGAACAAACGACTTTGCTTCCTACAAAGGTTTCTTCACCTTTACCAGTCCTTTATACTTTATGGGAGGGGCAATCACCTCCAAGCCTTACTCCTGAGTCGCTCCTTTTTTTTCAGCTGTTCTTGCCTTTTAGCAGCTCTGCACATACGTGCACTGGGAACAGGCTCCCTTTGTTTTTCTGCCTTGCTGCTGCCAGACTCCAGAGGCTCCTGAGTCAGCACCCCACTCCCTGCATCGGACACAGGGCTCTCGTCCGAGTCCTCTCCAGACTGATCCTTCTTCTTCACCACTGTCCGATTCCACTGCAGTCTGCACGGGCTGCCGGCGAACTACAACAATCCCAGGAAAAACTGCCTATTCATATTTTAGGATTTCTCTTTTGCCCAAGTAAGCTTCCATCAGGGTATAAAGCCTAATTGCTTTTGACAGACAGCCACAACTCCATCCACAGACATCTGGACACAATTACATAATCTGTAACCTTGGGAGCAGACCCTGTGGAGCAATTTCACCACTTTAGTATACTGAACAACTTTTGAGTTGTAAACAAAGTATGAACATGGTCAGATCTTCAAATTCCAAAGAGATGAAGACTTTGAAAGGCAAGCAGCTTACTCTCTCATAGATTGTTGTAGTTTCTTGGAGGCATTTTCAATACTGGATTACTTGCTTAGATAGAATTCTTCAACATAAATTACATTACTAATAAAATCTTGAACCCTAATATTCTGTGTCTGCAAAAGTGACTCCTGCTGAAGCATTTCCTTTTCAGTCATAAAACGTACTTGGGAATTTTGTCTAAGTCAAAATTGAACTTGAACTTTTTTACTACTATCTGCTATGATATTTACAGATGCAAAAATAACCTGGAAAATAAAATCCAGGACAAGTTTTCAAAATTCTATGAAAGACATCAACATTTTAAATTACTTCCATTAGTCAGAATTCAGGGGCAAATAGAAAATTGGTTTCAAATAACTGTCCATAACCCAGGAGAGTCAAAATCAATACAATTAAATATGTTCATTTAGTTCTATGTCAGATTGTGGACCAAGGGTTGTATCAGGAAATCTGTCTATCATAGACCAGCATCTGTCAGCAAAATGAATTTGGTTCCCTTTGCAAACCACTGTCCTTCCTAAATATCTTGAATATAGTCCTGTAATTCTATAATGGTATAAAAACCTTTTCCTGTTTTCTTTTGCAACCTGCAGTAGTTAAATAGCTATATATTCTATGATAGATAGCACCACCTGGTGGAAGAAAACCCAGAATTCAACTGTTTACAAAACCTGAGTTTTTCAACATAGTGGGAGAGACAAATGAAATATTTCAACATAATGGTATTAGCAGAAACATATTCTAATAAACACATGGTAATAATTACTTTTACATAAAAGTGCACCATTTAGAAATGTCCAGTTTCTACAAGGTTGAGTCAGAATGAGGTATGATTCTAACATGAAAATATTTCATATTTTTAAAACTTCATTTCACTAGATACATTATTAATTCAAAGCTTGCAATCACAAAAAATGTTCAGGGCAGCATCCAGAAACAGTAGAAATCAACTTGACTTGCATGTATAACTATATTTCAATTTCAATGGGTATTAGGGTGCAAACATTTACCTTTTATTAATATACACATCATGAAATCACAGCTGTCAGTTTTTAGTTGGAGTTAGCCTTCATAAACATCAACTCTTCCAAAGAATTTAGGATATCGTAATATATTGGTATAGTATATCTCCAGATCTAAGTGGAATGGCATTTTGTGACAGGTGTAGATGTTGTCAATGCAGATTTTTGAAGTGCTGTCTAACATTTTTTGGTATCACACAAAGTGTGCTGATAACCACTGTTGTTATTTATTAATTATGGTTCAGCCAGATGTTTAGACTGGATTTGGCATTTTGATTTACCTGAGTCCTAAGGACTTGGGGAAGACAGATGTTTTTATTTGATGAGGTTAAAGGGATTGTCACAGGATGGAAGCTGTCCCCAAAATGCTTTTTTGAAATTGACCGATGATGATTTTGTCCATGCTGTTTCTGTTCAACTGGTGTTCCAGAAGTTTTGGGATTACTGCCAAGGCACCTATAATTATTGGTACTATCTTTGCTTTCTTTTGTCGTAGTCAATTCTATTTCTATTTGCAGGTCTTTGTATTTTGCAATTTTCTCCAGTTTTTCTTCTCTTCTCTTCTGCTTATTATTATGTGCCATGAAGACATTTTTCACTCTTAGTGACCACATTGATTTTTTTCTGATGACAACCTGTCCCTAACGTGTTCTTTCAAATCTCCAAATTGTATACTTATTGCCAGTGTAACTGAGCATATCTTCCTTAATGCTGATCATTCTGTTCTTTCCGTCCGCTTTTCCCAGCATTAAGTATTTTCTACTTTCTTTTAAATCCTTGGAGGTTGTTTTTTTTTTTTGCTTCATTCAGAAAGAAAAACATTTTCCATTTTATTTATTTATTCGTTGATTTTGAATATTTCTGGATTCTTCATCTCCCTCAAAAAAGGACTTTGGACAATGTACAATCTCATTTTCCTGAGAACATAGGATTGTACTACAGAACATGTGTTGCTAGATATGTTGTAAAATTATAGTCATAACATGCTCATAAAAATTAATGCATATTAATCAAAACTGTTTTTAATGAATTATATTTAATTTTATAATTGGCAGTGTTTTGGTTTTTGCTTAAACTGCATGAATGATTAGCAACTTAATGCTAAACAAATAACAGATATAATTATCTTCATTTCCTACTGTATAAATTAATGTTATCAAGCAGTGTGTAACTTAGACTTTGCTCTAGCTGGGAGGTTATAACCAGATTGCAGTTTGAATGTTGTAGGATTTCCTTTATTCCACTTTCTTTTACATGATGTCAAAGTTCAGTAAAAGAAAGTGTACTTCAACGAGTTTTGAGTCATATATACAGGACCTCTTAATCATGTTTTACTCGGGGGAGGGGGGGCGGTATTTTGACAAGACAGATCCTAGCTCTCAGTGAGAGAAATCTACTAGTAAGTGCTTTCAAAATAAGTTGAGGGCCACAAAAACATTCAAGAGGAAAAACTCGGCAGCTCCGGCGGCTCCCGTTCCTTCTGTATTGTGAATGCATCAGCCTGTCTTTATCCAGGGCTATAAGAAGTGCTTATGAGGCTATGAGGGGATTTTCTTTACTAACTGGGTGGGTGGGCATTTTTACACACACTCTCTCTCTCTCTGCTCGACGACGAAAGGCACATTGAAATCCAGTCACACACGAGAACGGGAAACGCGCAACCTTCCGCCCGTCACCAACAAGATCCCATTTATTCTTATTTTATGCCTTGTAATTTACGGCGAGCTGGCTCTGGGCGCGCGCCTCCCCTCCAGCGCGGAATTGTTGCAAAACTTTGCACACCCGCCGCGAGCACCTTGTTCCCGGAAAGGCAAACAAAGGCAAGGCATGCGGGGAAACCCAGGCGCAAAGGCGACTCTTGCCGGGAGGCCCTTTCAGACCTTTTCTTCCCCCCGCCCCCGCCCCCGCACGCCGGTCTATAGACCAGGATGGCAGCGTGCTAAACCCGAGGCTGGGATACTTTGGCTAAATCTGTAGCCCGCACCCAGCTGCAGCCCGGCCTGGCCCAGCCCAGACTTCCCGACCTGAGGCTGGCAAAGCAGGAAGGAGCCGCCCAGGTTGCCCCAGCACCCAAAGCGGCAGGGGTGGGAAAGGAGGGAGTAGCATGGCGTGCTACAGAGGCGAGTATTCGGTAAGAGACCAAGCGCGGTATTTCCTTGAGGGGAGCTTTAGACGGGTGGCGCCCTCCCCTCACCGTTGCAGGAGGAATGGGGGGGGGGGGAACAGGTCAGAGAGGAAAAAGACCGGCTTCGGCTACTTGGCAGCAGCCCAGGACGTCGCTAACAACGCGGGAAAGTGGCGTTTTCTCTCTCCCCCACCGGTTACGCGTGGATGAGGCGCTGCCCGCAAAAGCGGACTGCGGTGCCTCCCAAGCCGACAGGTGCACGGAAAGACGGTATCGCTTCCACCGTAACGAGGTCTTTTCCCGCGGCGAGGGTTTTTTTTTTTCCCCTTGTGCATTTGTAACGCGGAGGGGAAGGAACAAGCCCCCCGATGGGTTCAGCTGGGTTGGCGAGTTGAGAAAAAAAAAAATTGCAATGCGAGGAAAAGCAGAGTTTCTGCGTCTCTGAATGGGTTGCAAGTAGCAAAGGTCGACTATTTTTCAGGGATTCTTTTAAAGAAGGAGCTCTGCCCTACCCGGGACGAAAAGGTTTGGTCTCCTTGCACTTCGGTGGATCTGTGATTAGGTCCCATTGAGCTGGAATAGTCAGTGAATGGCGTTGGAACCGTCGTTAGTGGTCAGACGAATCTTTTTGGCAAAATTGGACTGATAGAATGAAGAAGTACTATCTAAGCTACCTTGTTTTCTTTGCGGGGGGGGGGGAGGCACGGTTTAAAAACAATGTAATTGGTAAACATTTGCATTTATACCTGTGTAGTTTATCCATTAAGGTCATCCTTAATCCTTAAGGTCATCTTAATCATCTTAATCCTTAAGGTCATTCATTAAGGTAATCCCATGTTTTCCAGCAAGAGTTAAAAATGTTGGAAATCACATTCTGTAATCCCTTTCCCCCCAAAGTTAGTTGCATTGAGAGTTAATGACTAGCCTCAAGTTACCTACCGTCTTACAGCTAAAATTTTCAAAAGAGTACAATATTTGTTGCCCAGGGTTGAACTGTGGAGTCCTTGGTATTCTCTGAGCTCAATTGTTTGCTTACCTTTTCATAACAAACTATGTAACATCAGCAGTGCTTAGTAAGAATAGAGTTCATTGTCATTTTATATACATGCCCTGTCAATATTGGTGGAAGTGGTCTTGAGAGAATATAAAATGAGAGCAAACTCCACTCCCTACTGACACTGATGAACTTACCCAGATTGGTAATGAAACCTTGGCAAGAAAACAATCAAACTTGGAGAGCACCAAGTACCCCACAGCTACATTTTAATTGTAAGCCTCCCAGAATTGTTTTTCAGAATGAGATGGGCATCATATAAATATAATACATTAATAAAAATAAAGAGGAATCTGAACCAGGATCTCTAGCTCTTTGTGGTCATGAGTGGGTAGTGGAGTGATTTGCCCTAAAACTTTAGTCAAAACGTTTACATGCCATATAATTGCTGCAACTTTATTTACATTTTCTTATGATGTCGTATCAGTTAAGTCCTAGAGAATGCTATCCTAAGAGTACAGATAGTCCTCAACTTACAACCATTCGTTTAGTGACTGAAGTTACAACAGCTTTGAAAAAAGTGACTTATGACTGTTTTCACACTTATAACCGTGGTCAAAATTCATCTGGCATGTATTTATGGCAACTGGCATGTATTTATAATGGCTTTAATGTCCTGGGGTCATATGATCACATTTTGGGATCTTCTGACAAATGAAATCAATGGGGAAGCCAGATTCACCAAACAACTGCGTTACTGACTTAACTGCAGTAACTCATTTGTGTGTGTTACTGTGTCAAGAAAGGCCATAATATTGGGCAAAATCTACTTAACTGTATTGCTTAGCAACAGAAATTTTGGGCTCAGTTGTCATAAATCAAGGACTACTTGTAAGTTCTTGTTTGTTTCAGTAACATATTGAACAATTATGCAATATAGCTCAGTAAAGCCATTCAAAGTATTTGATAGAGGTGTTTTGCAACATGCGAGAGTAGGAACGACAACAAAAGTAACTTTGAAGTTTTATAGCAGCCACATAGTTTGTAAGGCTGCTTTAGAAGTACTTCCCATATCTCTCTGCATGCATATGCATGCACTGTTACTTTGTTTTGCAAGAGAGAAAAGCAAAATATTTGCTGTATATATGCATGTTTTGATGTTTTGCTTAGCCTTATGTACAACAACCACGAAAGGTTATAAGTAACTATGTCAATGGGTCATTTATATATGTATTACATATCTAAACAGCACTTCTTAAGGCATACAAAAATTAGCTAGAATGCATTGAATGAATTGTAAAAAATTATTATCGATAAAATCTGCAGCAATGAGATTGATTAGTCTCAATCTAAGAGAACTCAAAGATATTTCTGTTGAAGATTTTTTTCTGTTAAAACCATATAGCATGCTTCAATTGGCAAGGGAGATAGGGACCTTAAAAATATATAAGATAACTATTAGAGAAGTTACTTCTTCAGGTAATTCCTCCAGTTCATTTAGGGATTCAAAGTTAATTTTGTTAATACCCGTAACATTTAAGTTTATAATCTGATACTTGTGTGCTTAGTACAGATTAAACTAAAATGATTATAATCTGATGCTTGTATACTTGGTGCAGATTAAACTAAAATGAGTGACCAAGATATATCCATTGGATGGCATGCAAAAACAATACATTGTCTATCTAAACATCCTTAATGTTTAATGAATTTTAAAATATATCCTATTTGTGAATTTTAGGTTTCTGAAGATAGATTTCCTGAATCAAGAAAGTGGCGACCATTGATACATAGGAAATGCACAGACAAATTTTGGTTGATAATATTTTTCCTCTTTTGGGCAGGTTTGGTAAGTAAGAGTTCCTGCTGAAATAAATGTGTTGAAAAGAATGAGATGTGATTCAAATTGTTAGTGAATAATCTGATAAAAATATTTCTTTATTCTACTGCAGTCAGTACTCTTTGTGTATACAATTTCTGTGGAAGCAAAATTTTGCAATATTTTAACTGGTTTTGCGACTGTCTATTGATTATGTTATATCAGGGTGCAGTAACATAGCGGTTTCAGTATTTTATTGCAATTGAATATGTTTCTCTACCAATAGACCTGGTTCATTGCCAAATTGTTATATATAAGGATATAGATATGGGGAAATCAAATTTGCCACTAGATTGTTTAATGATAATCCCTTTTAGCAAGAGTTCCTTC